CCCCGAAACAGGGGACCCCCCAGTCCCGGGGACCCCCCGAGCCCCCGGGGACCTCCAGAGCACCCCCCAAGCTCCGGGCACCTCCCGAGCTCCGGGCATCCCCCGCGCCCCCGGGCACCCCCAGAGCCAGGGGATCCCCCGAGCTCCGGGCACCCCCAAGCCCGCCCGGGGACCTCCTGAGCCAGGCGGCTCCCCAGTCCCCGGCACCCCCCGAGCCCCGGGCACCCCCTGAGCCTCTGGGCTCCTCCCGAGCCAGGGGACCCCCCGAGACCCCGGGCACCTCCCGAGCCCCGGCTGTGCCTGCGCAGCCCTTCCCCCGGGAAGGGCCGGGAGTAGCACCGAGAGGGAAGAGGGGACAAAGCGGCCGGAGCTCACCTGAGGCCGGCAGCCTTGCGCGGGGCCGGTTTGTAGCAGTGCTGCCCTTCCCTGAAGTAGAGCCCGGCGCGGGCGGGCGGGCAGAGGCAGCCGCAGAGCAGCAGCAGCAGCACAGGGATGAGAGGCTGGAGCGGCGGGGCCATGCTGGGACAGCGGCAGCTGCCGGGACACGGCCGGTCCGGGCTCTGAGGGCGGAGGGAGGGAGGCGCGGAGGGACGGCCGGGGCGGGGCTCACCTGAGGCGGGCGGGGACAGCGGCACCGAGCCGGGGTGCGCTCGCTGAGCCCCGCCGAAGGGAGCCTGATGGATCTGTGAGGGATGAGGAACAGATATACCGCGTTCCCAGCTCACACGCTCAGAAATTTGATCACATGGGTTGTGACCAGAGGACTTGTGTCTGGGACAGGCGGTGGTACAGGTTTCTTTACCTTTGGCCTAACACCTCAGCATTGTGCTAGACTGTGACCAGCGGCTGTGACTGGTTTTTTGCTTGGTTGTGTTTTTTTTCCAAGTCCCGAGTTCTGAATTTCTCAAGCCTTTAATGGTGCAATTTACAAAGGAACATAGGCCTGTGTTGTTTTCTAAGCTGTTCCTTAGTGTTCGGACATCTGAAGATTCTTTGTTATCTGCTAGAACATGTAGCCARTAGTAAAAACAGTTTTCTAATTTTCCTGCAGAAGGTTCTAGTAACTGTGTGAATGCATTACCAGTCTCTTTTCCATACATTAGCTACATTTCGTGTTTGATAAACAGGTTTAGTGAACCACAGACAGTTCTCCCCGGATTGTTTCTCTTCCTTAGCTCTCATCCCTTTTTGTAGAAGGCCTGAGGTTTATTAGCTCCACACTGTGAACAGAGAAAGGCACTGGGAACCAACGCACCAAAAGGAAYAGCAGAGCAAGAGTGGAGCCTGTGTGTTGAATGCAGTGGTTTTTGGTAGCACTCCTAAGGGTGATGCAGGTAGCCCAGGTTAGYTGAGACTTGCTTCAGCTTGTCTGGTAGCCATTCCCAGATCTCTAAAATTATCTGATGGCCTGTAGCCAGGCTTATCTCAAATTCAATAGGCTATCTTCTCAACAATCTGCCATTCTGAAAAGCCAGTTCCTCCCAAGCAAACCATTAAAAAAGAGATATCCCAAAATGCCTCCCTGCATGTGGCTATTTATTGCCAGTGAGTAGCAGTAAAAAGACCAAAAATCAATGAAAAAAAACCAAAAAAACAACAAAAAGCCCAGCAACCACAAAAGCCTGTGCTCTTTGTGGTCTCATCTCAAGCCCATCACGAGGGCTGTGGTGTCTGGAGCCTSCTCTGGAGGCACTGGAAGTGGTGGGCAGCCCGATAATAGACACTGTGGGACAGCTGTGCCCARTGCCAGGCTGCTCCTAATCTCCCCTGTGCCAAAAGTCCCTGGGAGCCGGCCYGTCCAGCACAGTCCCCTCTGTCCCCAATGCCTCTCTCTGCTAATCTGCAGCTGCACATGTGCCATGGCTGTGCCTGGAAGTGCCTCGGGCTGTTAACAGCCTTGGGGCTTCTCAGGGCTGAGCAGGACAGGCCTGTGACTCAATCTACAGAGAAACAGGCTCCTCCTAGGCCAGGTTTGGGATAAAGCAAGACTTGGAGCTTCACAGAAATGCAGATGGGGAAAAGAGGCCCAAACCCACATCCGCTTCACAAAGCATCTCAGCYACCTGGTGTCATGTGCCAGAATTTTTAAGACTCTCTAAGGAAGCGCTTCAGAGGAGGCACATGATTGTAGGGAGCTATTTTCAGCAAGAGGAAAAACCCTATTAAGTGATTGCATGTTTCCTTCACTTCCCTTTTCCCYCTTTCCTTGTGAGATGTGCTCAGTGAGCATGTTTATTGCTGAAATTTTGCCTAATTTATTGGATGGTGAGCCTTCAGCCTCTTTCTAAGCTGTGTCGGTTGTGAATACATTGCATATTTTAAATAGTATTTATTTAGTGTCAGCAGCTCTCTGATGCATTGTGTGAGACTTGCTTTCAAAGTAAACATCCAAATAACATTTTCAGAATTARGAAATTGTAGAAGATATCCACTGCCATTGTGGGAAATATTGATAGTGTGGCAATGGGACGGAACTTTTTGGTTATATTGCTGGGTAAATTAAATGTCCTAGAGAATACTTAGCTTTTGGGAAATGATAAAATGATTGKGTTTTAAGGAAACAAAATTAATCTACCTGAATTTAAAGTCTTCTTTTTATTGCTCCCTACTGAGTATGTTCRTAGCATGGCAGAGGATGACAGGAAGCTTGCTCTCTACTCTTTTGCAACACACTTCTAGTGCTGAGCTCTGTGTTAGGAGCAGTTTTCTTTCCCTTCATTGTCTGATGGGAGAAGTGGAAGTCATCAAGTAGAGGGGAAGCCTGGAATAAGATGATTTTTCTTCTGGAAGCTCAGAAATTCCTTATCTCTAGCAACCCATAAAGTGGTAGAGTAGTTATGTTCAGTGAGTCAAGTCCTTCCAATGTCACATTATTTAATGCTAAATAATTTAAGGTGCTTTCCTAATTATAGTTCCTTTCCCCRTCCTTAAAAGGAACACTTGCAAGGCAGTGACAGTCGTTTGACATGTAATGAAATTGCTCTAGGCTCCCAGAAGTCAGTCCATCCTGGGTTTCTGCTGCTCAGTGATACTGCTCCTGGTTATCAGCACCAAACATGAGTGTGCTGTGTTTGGTTGTGCCTCACATCATTTCCTTTAACACAGTGAGATGTTTCACACTGTGAGCATTTTGGTTCACTTCAGCGAGCTTGAGTGGAATGGGGTTTTCACCTCCAGCATTTTCCTGGCAACTTCTGAAGTGCATCTCAGATAAATGAAAATAGGAAATATTAGAAATGCTGTATTTGTTAATAGTAGGAAATAAAGAGAGAGAGAGAGAGAGAGAGGGAGAGAGAGAGCATCTGTGCTAGTTAGTCACAACTTAATTCAAGTTTTGGCTGAAAATGATGGATGTTCTTATGACTGTTTAAGGAACATACATCACTGAGAGTGCAATATTATATTTGTTACAAGGTATTTTTTGTTACTGCTCCTGTTCCCTTCCTTTATGCAGTCAGAGACTGGGAATGATGCTTGTTAGTGAAGTTTGCCTTGCAATGCACTGAATGTTGTGATTATAGGAGGTTTCTGCTCACAAGTTGTTACYGTTTTTATTATGGGTGTTGTCCTCTATGACTCACATGATGCTAAAATTTAAATTATGTGGCAGAAGCACCTGTGCTTAATAAATTAAGATCACTTACTTGGGGCTATAATCTCTACATATGCACATATATTTGTATACATATAACATATAATATCAAATAATTAAACACAAATAGAATATGCACATATATTCATGCGTCACACTGCTGCACAGAGAACTGGAATCAATTGTGAGGGGGTGCATGTGACAGTGCTGCTTTCCAAGCCACTCAGTGATGCCCCTGTGCTGTTGTAGCTGTGCCCAGGCAACAGAGAGCCCCTTTGCCTGCTGGGGCAATGCCCTGTGGAGCAGCCTGGGGCTGGCTACTCCCCTGGCTGGCTGAGTGACAGTCCCACGGGTATAAAAGGGCCCCTGGGGCCGGGCTGTGCTGGGTGCAGCTGATAGAGCAGCAGGCAGAGGGTTTGTTCTGGGGACTGCTGCTGGAGAGCCTGGGTGAGRCTGTAGCCACCAACGGGTCCGAGCCACACAAAATGCGTGAAATTGTGCACCTGCAGATCGGCCAGTGTGGGAACCAGATCGGATCCAAGGTAAGGGCTCTTTGCAACAATGCTTGTTAGGACGGGATCAGAGGGAGCAGGGCACCATCATCAATGGATGGGGACCTTTGGGGGGACAATTATCTCGTTAACTCAATGGCAGGATGGTAGGGAACTCAATGCACGTCAGCAGGGAACATGAGTGTCTTGGTATGAATGGCAAAAGATGCGCTTGCTCTTCTGCAAAGGTTAATGCTCGTCTGCAATAACCATGGCACAGTGATTATAAATGCTCCAGAACATCCCTGCTGGGACTCATATTCCCAGGGGGAATTCATATAGGCTGTGAAATACTGGGACAAGTGACAGAGCCAGTAATTCYGGGGCCTTGAAGTTGTGCTGCCGGTATTTTAGTTCAGCCATGCAGCAGCAACTCTGCCATAATTTATTAATATCATAGAATCATACAATGGTTTGGATTCGAAGGGACCTTAAAGATCATATGGGATCATATTAATCAAAAGCATAACTGTGYTAGAGTGACACAAAGTGTCACTGGCCTCCCGTGAGAGACAGATATGTCATTTGGAGTATTTTTGTGTCGTTCAAACACTAGCATGCTGTGGCTTAGAGAGTAGTCACTCTTGCTGACTTTCTAGCTTAGGAGTAAAATAATCCCCTCAATTACTTTATTCTGTGTGATTGGGATGTCCATCCTTTTTTTTTTTTTTTAATTGATAAATAGGAAGTTGTCAAAAATTTGTCCATTTCAGGCTGGGAGATCTTTTAAGACATGGTATAGYTGAGGGGTTGCTCTGTTGTGTTCTTCCTCCTTTTCTTTCTCCCACAAATCTCGCCTTGATTCCTTTTAAGGGAACACGAAGCATGGAATATACACATATTGGCAGTGGTGTTTTGTACACTCCAAATGGGACTGGATGCTAACCCAGGAGACCTTTAAYATTAGAATAGCCTGGTCATTACAGTGGGTGGGTGTGTCTGCAGAACACTGCGGTGGCTGCTGCGCAGATAAGAGCCCAGCACAAGAGCACATCCATGTGAGTGTCAAGATAGGACRTTTAGGACCAGCAGCTGTTTGTGGAAAGCCTTGCTCATGTACAAAATTGCCTGTACCAGCATTGTCATGCTATGGTCCCACTTGTGCATGACAGGAATCCAGGCAATTCTCCCTAATCCACACCCTCACAACCTTTTTGTTAAGCTCTTACCAACTAGTAACTGTTATTTAAACTTTCAAACTAATATAAATTCTCTTTTACTATAAAGAGAACGAATTGAGGGCCTCCACCTATTAGTGTGTGGGTCATAGCTAAGCAGGTAAGTGATCTACTAAACTCCCTTGAATTTATTTGGGGAGGGGTAGAGGATTCCTGTTCTGATCTGTAAGTAAATGGCAAAACATCCCCTGCTGCAGGCACAGTTCCCAGAGCTGGTGCTGAACATGTTGTACTGTAAATAAATAAACCTTTCTTAGTGTGTTGTACCTCTGTCCTTTTCCAGTTCTGGGAGGTGCTTGGTGAGGAACATGGGATTGACATCACTGGGAACTACCGTGGGGATTCACCACTGCAACTGGAGCGAATTAACGTGTACTTCAATGAGGCTTATTGTAAGTGCTCAGCAGAGCCAATAAGGAGGGTAAAATAAATTAAAATTTTCTTATTAAGAAGAAATTAAAAAAACCACTAAAAGCCTAAACCACTGTGGGTGGGTTGCACTTTTCAGAGTGGGCTGTAAGCCTGTTTCTTTGACCTCTGGTAATTATTTGCATTAATTTTGTTTTTGTTCTAGCCCATAAATATGTGCCCCGTTCCATCCTGGTGGACCTGGAGCCTGGGACAATGGACAGCGTCCGCTCCAGCCGAATYGGGCCCCTCTTTCGACCTGACAACTTTATCCATGGTATGTACAGCACTCAGCCAGCAAAGKGACTGTCCCAAAAAGGCTTTGGAACTCCTGGCACTGTAGCCTGTAAAAATTCTCCTGTTAATGTTGTGGCTGTTCTGTAATTCCGTTCACAGGTAATTCAGGTGCTGGCAACAACTGGGCCAAGGGCCACTACACAGAAGGTGCTGAGCTGATCGAAAACGTCATGGATGTGGTCAGGAACGAGTGTGAGAGCTGTGACTGCCTTCAGGGATTCCAGCTCATCCATTCCCTTGGTGGTGGCACGGGCTCAGGCATGGGCACGCTCCTCATCAACAAGATCAGAGAGGAATATCCYGACAGGATCATGAACACCTTCAGTGTTGTGCCCTCACCCAAAGTGTCCGACACGGTGGTGGAGCCRTACAACGCCATCCTCTCCATCCACCAGCTGATAGAGAACACAGATGAAACCTTCTGCATTGACAACGAAGCTCTCTATGATATATGCTTTAGGACATTAAAGCTCACCAATCCCACCTACGGGGATCTCAACCACCTGGTGTCCCTCACGATGAGYGGCGTCACCACCTCGCTGCGTTTCCCTGGCCAGCTGAACGCGGATCTGCGGAAGYTGGCGGTCAACATGGTGCCCTTTCCTCGCCTGCACTTCTTCATGCCAGGCTTTGCCCCGCTGACRGCTCGGGGSAGCCAGCAGTACCGGGCCCTGTCGGTGCCAGAGCTCACCCAGCAGATGTTCGATGCTCGGAACATGATGGCAGCCTGCGACCCYCGCCGTGGCCGCTACCTCACCGTCGCCTGCATCTTCAGGGGCAGAATGTCCACCAGGGAAGTGGATGAGCAGCTGCTRTCTATCCAGACCAAGAACAGCTCCTACTTTGTGGAGTGGATTCCTAACAATGTCAAAGTGGCCGTGTGTGACATCCCGCCACGAGGCCTGAAGATGGCGGCCACTTTCATTGGCAATAACACGGCCATTCAGGAGCTCTTCATCAGGGTGTCCGAACAGTTCTCGGCCATGTTCAGAAGGAAGGCGTTTCTCCACTGGTACACGGGGGAAGGCATGGATGAGATGGAGTTTTCTGAAGCAGAAGGTAACACAAATGACCTCGTGTCCGAGTACCAACAGTACCAGGATGCCACTGCAGATGTGGAGGAATTTGAAGAGGTAGAAGTAGAACCAGAAGCCAAGCCAGAAAAGGAAGCAGAGTAAAAAGTATCAAAACATTCTCCAAATARGCCTGTTCACATTCACTAAAGACAAAGCAATAGCCATCATCTGCATATCCAAAATAACACATTTCTTCRGAACTTTTTCTATGCATCTGGCCAAATATATCTGACATCACAACACAATGCTTTTGAAATTAATGGCAGCTCTGCTTTACTGTCTTAAACAACTGTTGACACTGAATCTCTCCCAAAACAAATCTACTATGGAGACAAGTTGTCWCACAACAGCCTTTCTTGTAAATGGATTCACTTTCAGAATATGATCACCAGATACTGAATGTACTATACAGCCACTGTGCCTGTGTATATAGATCAGGATCATAAGCAATAGAAAAATACGCTGGCAGCTCATCACATTTATTTATTCTCAGGTAAACAYAGTCCCTGTTGATTGTGAACTTGTTACTGTTTTAGGAACACGTGCACATCTGCAAGGCCTGCAAAGACAGTGACTCTTTTGTTATCACTCCACAGACTGATGCAGATATTCAGACAAGTTCAGCTCCTTGAGCTGCAGGGAGAAGGCAAAGGCAAGAAAAGGGGGCAAATGACTGAATATGCACATTATTATTTTATTTTTTAAGTACTTTAATTGTTCTATCACATTTTTGGCTTATATTATTGCAGAGCTTGTGTTCATTATCAGGGTGTGGTTTGTTTCTATTTCAAACTATAGGTTAAGTTACTTTAGCACACTAAGTTGTGACATTGTATAAAAGTTTTGGTGTGGTATTTTTTCCTAGGTACTAACTACTGTAAATTTTTTTCCTAACATTCCGTACAACAAAAATGACATAGAATGGTTGGTAGCTTGCTAATATAAATTCCATGGCAGTCACTAAATCAAAACTGTATTCTGACTTCAGTGAAAAGAATTTCTTGCCATCACAGCYGTCCACTTAACAATGTATTTATAATACTCTTTTAAATAAAGATTATATACCATTCTATAAAAGTTTTATACTTGAAACATTTGATAGACAAACCCCCATAGTTTATTCTTGCAAGAACTTTGAATTACATTAATTTTACCCTTAGGTACRAATATTTATTACGCTMTGAAGAAATTAGTATCTYGTGTTTGAATTCAGTCTTGGTGAAGGAATCTGAAGCCAATTCTGTGCAGTGAGACAAGGTCATCCCTGCTGTGAGGACACTGCAGCAGGAATATGCAAAAACTTCCCCCAAAGCAACACAGCTCTTTGTCCCCAGCCAAGAGAAGTGTCTCCCTCTATTCCTACTGCTTCCCAGGAAATGTCTGCGCCTCTCCCTCTCCTCCCCACAGTGACAGGTAATCAGGACAGCCAATTCACAAKATTCCTGTGYTTGTTTCCTCACCTCTCACCTGACACCAGGTCTCCCAATTGGTGACTCACTGCCCAGCGTCTCAGACAGATCTCAGACAGATCTGGAGATTAGATCCCAGCAGTACATCCATGGCACAATATCCAGTTTAGAGTTTTCAAAATTATATGCTATACTCTATGCTGATACAGATTTTAGCCACGATCTTTTCCCAAAATATAATCATTAGAATGCAGTAGGCAGGAAAGTTTTAAACAACAATTAAACCTTTCATTTATTTATTCGCCTGAAATACCAGCATGAAACCCAAAGAGATTTGGCTTAAATATAAATATTGTTACTGAATGTTAAGACTGTGCTAAAAGCAGTCTTTTATTTCAACGTAAGGGAAAAGTAAATGCCTCTACAAAATGGAAACTTTGTTTCAAGASGAACAACACTTTCCACACATTCAGAAATTACATTTATTAGCATGCCAATTTACATGCAGAGGCAAGTCCTACAGTTCATGTGATGATGTGACATTGCAGAGTCTTGAGCTTGCCTACAGCTTTGCAGTTTGCTGGTATTCACCACAGATCAGTTCCTACAAGAGATTTAAAATACAAGTTATTCAAGAGTATGAGCAAGGAACACTTCAAACAAAGGTAATAATATTTAATCTCAGATAAGGAATAAAAGCTCTTCTATTCAGAACASAAAACATTTCAGCTGCTTGTGATGTATAAAATGCCACAAATAAAGGTACAAGCAGCATTTGTCTCACAGAGAACCCAGGAGTTTGCTGATCAGGGCAAACAGGAGTTCAGAGAGGCTGTCTGCTGGCTTAGGAAGTATGATTATCATAGAGAAACGTGTGAGCATCACTACAGATCCCCAGCTGTTCTGTGTAAGCCCACAGAAGTCTGCCCAAACCCCAAGTGGTTCAGTGCAGAGCGTGACAGACAGTRCATCTCAGTTCAYTAATGAGATTAGGCSGTTTCCCATCTCACACCTAAYCAGGTCACRGACACCKGCGCACATTCGCACACCAGCCGCAATCCCCTCCACTCCCATGCCTGGAAATCGAGCTGATTATCTCCAGATATYGGGGACTAATGGACTCAGCAATTACAGACCATGGCTAACCCCACTCTCGCACTGCAGAGCGCCAACCCCGCACCCAGCCCACCCCACCCACTTACATTTCACTCCTTTTTGGGTTTCACCGTTTTCACCGTGGCCACCGCTGCCCTCTCCGCCTCTGCTTTGTACTGCGGCTTCATGGCAGCCCGCACGGCCTGGGCGCAGATCTGCGAGTACCGGATGTAGCTGCGGCCGGGGACACAGACGGAGGTGAGACCCAGACCCGGGCCCGGCATCTCCCGGCCCCAAACCCGCGTTTCCCCCGCAGCAGCACCGCTGTGCCAACCCGCCCTCCCCGCCAGCCGTTCTCTGACAGCCCCTCCGGTGAGCCCCTGGCCCCCGCCGTGTGGCGGGGCTGTCGCCACAGCGCTACCTGAGCCCGGCCTGTCGCCAATACGCCACCATGGCTGCGACTCCAAGGTCAGCGCGCGCCGCAGGGGACGGCTCCGCCGGCCAATCAGCGGGCKGGAGCTGCTCACGCGCGCTGCCGCTCACGGGCGCGCGCCTCCGGCACCGACCAATCAGAGGGCTCCGCTCCAGCGCGCGGCTCCCGCCTTTTCCGCCTGACGCGCCCCGGGAGCGCCCCGCCCCTTCCCCGGGGCCCGGGCGGCCCCGTGGCCGTGAGGGGTGGAGGGCGGGGCCATGGCGGCACCGTGCCCCTCACAGCTGATCCCGTCGGGAAAGGTGCGTCCCCTTCCCGGTGTGGAAAGGTTCCGGCTCCGCCCCCGCCCGCGGTCCAAAACCATGGGAATGAGTGTGTGCATTTAGTGGTTCAGAGCCGTTAGTTTGCCGGAAACACACTACATGTCAATTACCTAAAGAACATAAATTAAAGACCACATTTTCTATAAGGCCAATGGCAATATAGCACTTGAGTTAGTTACACACTCACTCCTTCCTCAGAAGTCATCCTTAAGGAGATTAAATATTGAGGTTTTAMAAAATTCTTGCACTTTTGTTCTCTTACTTCCTTCCATCCAAAGCCAAACCATTTTTAAAGCACAGAGTAATTTTCAGCTTTATTAGAGATCTCTTTTAGTCCAGAATCATTGCAATTAACAATCCACACAGTAATGTCAGAAAAGAGACACCAGAATAAAAAGAACAACTGTTCACCAGGTATGTCAGTCTGTCTCCAGCATACRACAGTAAGATCTGGACAAGTGATYGGCTTGGGTTTAAGTTGAACAATTCTGACTCCTATTCCTATTGAATTTTGGGTTATTTCTTGAATCCATGTATTGCAATTATTCCTACTTAATTTTATAGAAATAACTAGTGTAAAAGAGGCAGCAAACAATTTTTACTTCATGCATTTATTTTCTTCTTTATCTGTGTGTGAACTGTATTATAATTTTGTGACTGATGTGGTATATTGGAGCAAAGCTTTTCAATTTGCAAAAATGAAATAAAAGTATTTGTTATCACAAACATTTCTGTGCTTTTARCACAGATAGGTGCCAGTGTTATGATATTGAAAGGAAACATATTTGGTTTCGAAGCCCCAGTCATAACAATGATAACAAAAAGATACAAGACAGCACCAGAGATTTTGGGAAGCCCCTCTGTGCTACCTAAGCAGCATGTTTGCAAGACAAGTAACTACAGTTCTTACATACATGGAGAAAGGGGATGTTACATGCAAATGCTTCTTTAATGGTAACATCTGATGATTTGGTAGTTAAAAAATAATTAGCAACAAGATTATTTTAAGCCTTATGGGCAGMCCAGGCCCATGGCTTGGCAAAGAAAAATCGTGCCAGTAGAGTTGGACATTTTCTTCCAGCTACAGGCCCCTCTATTCCTGCCTCATGGCTTCTCTGGTTCCTCTTCCTACCCCATTTCTCACCTGTTTTTTGCTCCACAATTTTCTTTTTCCACCACATCTTCTCTCTCTGTACCTCTCCATGAAATTCCTCTGCCTGCAATTCTGTAAGATCAGCTCAGATTTAAATCCATAGTGAAGATACACATCTTGGATACAATTATTTGCACATTTACCTCTATTTACTGTTCGTTTGTGTTGATAGATAATAATCCAGCATGAATTGAAAAAATTAAACCTTTGGAAGAGGTACAAACCATGCTGAGACAGAGCAGATATCAATCAGTGACAGAAATTGTGCTCTACAAAAATTCCAGSGTAATTATTGATCTTTATGCAGCTATTAAAAGGCACCATTATAAATTTGTACAACCTGTTTTCATGCCCAGTTTAGATGCCAGGAGATATTTGTAAAGCCCTAAACTTTCCTCAGGTAAGAATTTTCAGAGAGAGAAGATAGGAGAMAGCACATAAAGGGAGGTTTAGAAAGAGGTTGCAGAGAAAAGGGTATACATTAGAGTTAGATGCAGAGGTCAAGAGAAGCCGCAGCAGTGCGATTAGCAACATCCAGAAATGTGAGCGTGGAGAGGTCTGGGGGAACTAAGGATGTGAGGTTAGACATGTCCAAAGAAACWGAGGAAGWGAGGGAAGAAGCATCCTGAAAGGTGAGATTGGAGACATCCAGAAAGGGTGCAGAGATGAGATTGGAAACATCCTCAGGAGYTGAAGGAGATAATCCAGAGGAGCGCTGAAACATGAAATAATTAAAATCGGTGAGGTCTAGAGATTCTGACGAGGTGGAGGAGCTGTACTCTGAGACACCCGGTGAGGATGGAGGGATTGTACAGGAAAAGTCCAGGGAAGCTGAGGAGGTGTGGGTGGAAGCATCTGTGGAGGACGAAGAAGTGAGACTGGAGAGGTCTAGAGAGAGTGAAGAAGTAGGGCTGGAGAAATCTGTGGAGGATACAGAGGTGACACTTGAGAGATCTAAAGAGATTGAGGAACTGTCACCAGACTGATCCAGAGAGCCTGATGAAGTGAGACTTGATAGGTCCAGTGAAATTGAAGAGGAGAAACTGGAGCGCTCCCAGGAGTCTGAAGAGGTGAGACTGGAGAGCTCTAAAGAGATTGAAGAGGACGTACTGGAGAAGTCCGAGGAGGCTGAAGATGTGAGACTTGAAAGGTCCAGCGAGGATGAAGAAGTGAGACTGGAGAATTCCACAGAGGATGAAGAGCTCAGACTAGATAAATCCAATGAATCTGAAAAGGGGATTTTAAAGCGCTCCAAGGAGGTCAAAGTCTTGACACTGGAGGGGTCCAGGGAGGCCAAAAAAGTGAGACCAAGTAGGTCCAGGTAGGTTGAAGAGATGACACTGAAAAGCCAAATAAATCCCCAACATGATGKGTGTTAAATCAAGAGTATTTTAAACTAAAGGTCTCTATTAACACACCAAAACAAAATAACAACATGATCCCATTTTTTTTTAACAGTAAGATTCAAACTGTGTGCTTGGTCTATCAGTAGTTTCTGTTTTGGTGCAGGAAAACTCCAGTAATAACTCTGCACAGAATTATTGAGAACATTGTGCCTTTTCAGGGGACCAGTACAGAACACGTGTACAGTTGCAGACAGTCTTCCATCCTGACATGACTGTCCTTGTTCAACCAGATTTCTTTTTCTTTGTAGCATGTGCAGRATTTGTTTTTGGAAGCAAGCAATGTGCTAAACTGATTCTGTGTCCAAGAAATACACATTTCAGGAGCAGCAGTTCTAATTATTTTTCAGATAAAAAGAGGTCTTATTTCATTACCTTTATTTTATACCTCAGGGCATGAAACCTGCATAATAACAATAATGTTTAATTTGTTCCTGGTTTAATAAAAATATCCTGAAGAGAAGCTGTGATAGAAGGCAGACATGTGATTAAAAAAGGAACAGAACAGCTTAAATTTCAGTTCAAAAAGGTGCATCTAATTATAGTGTGAGTGGATCAAGAGGCTGATCCACAGCTGCCTCCTCTTGTCTCCAGACTGCACCGCAAAGCACAGAGCTCTCAAAACCTGCTGGTGCCTCTCCAGACACGCACAGGAAGGCACAGAAAGTTTTTTTCACTCTCCCCAACCGTATTTTATGGACCAAGAAATGCAGGATACACAGGTGCAGGAGGCTGCAGCTTCTCAGGTGAACACAGCCCAGCTTTGCCCGTGTTCTTACACAACCCATGTCCAGATGAGTGTGTAATGGATTTAACATAATCACCATGGGTGCAACTCCCACCCAGGTCACCTCTTAACTGAAGCAGGTGTCTGCTGAACAGCCTCTGAGRTACAGTGATGTCTTACTATATAAACATTAAAATTGTGGGGATTTAGCACAGCACAAAAATGACCACACTGAAAAACAATTGTTTATATACCAAAGATTAGACCCCCAAAAGTTCTTGAATATATTTAGTACTTATAGATGATGCTTCTATAATTTTAGAGCTCTTGCAACATGGTTGCAATTCTTTCAAGAGTACAATGTTTATAGATCAAAATGCAAACCAAATGCTAATTTATTATGAAATTCCAAGTTTGCTTGCTGCCCTGTATTCTTAATAAGACMTAAAAGTAATTAACCCCTTCAAAATCCCTTGTTATCTAAAGACACTATGGTTTCGTGACTGTCTTTAATCTCAAAGCTTTCSCAAGTGCATTTTGCAGGGGAGAACAAGTATTTAAAAAAAAAAGGCAAACTACAGTACAATAAAAAGCCGGTGTCCAACAGGCTCTAAATTCCATCATCWCTTCACTGTGCTCTTTCTGTCCTAATTTAAAATAGCAAAGTTATTTCACTTTTTCCTATAACACTGTAAACAACTATGRAATTATGGTCATCATTGTATAAAATGTACAGGTCAGTAATAACGTTTCCTACCTTGGATAGYGTGGATTTACCTCCTTTCTTTGCCTGGGTAAGCCATACTGGGCTGTGCTGGTAAAGCTCTGCTGTTCTCTCTGCTGCTGACCCTAATCTGCTCCACAGCCACTGGAAATGATGCCATGCTGATGACAATACGGGTCATCTTCTGGTAAATCTCCTGTCTAAGCACAGCACAGCACAGAGTGCCAGCCAAAACCACACTGAAATAAGCTCCAGTCTTAGAAAGATACAGTTCTGTGCTACTTCCCATTGCAGGACAGTATTTTGAAGGTTAGTTGATAAAGCAGTCAAAGACATCAATTTTCAACTTTTGGACACCTGGATTCAAAATAAAAATAATTTTGCAGTGTCATCCAAGTCTCAGCTGTCTATTCTACAAAATCTGGCATGAACAGCCTGAGGAGGGACCCAGGATCTGCAGAGCAGGATTSAGGTACATTCAAGTTTTGAAAATCTTGTGCATTATCTCTTTTCATGTGTTAAATGACTTGTGTTACTTTTAAAATGTGGTTATAACAAAATAGCATGATGATTTAAGATTTTTTTGTCCACAGATGATGATGGTCCTCCCAAGGTAAGCAAGTAGTTCAGCTRGGTTGTAACATGTAGCCTTACCTTTAGAATAATTCAGTTTTATAGCAATACAGTAAAAAAAGYTATAAAGTTGTTAAGACAGAAATTAACAGGTCCTGTGTAAGTGAAAGAACAACCTTCACCTTAAGAAATGGAATGACTCACTGCTTCCAAACAAGCTCTTTATCAGCACTCTTCAGTTCTTCTATAAATGTGAACCTCAACAGGCTGCTGACCTTGCCTTTGACCCAATGCTCTSTCAGGGCCAGGGGATTGGAAATGTTGCAATTATTAGACAATGGGTGCTTAGATTTACTCTAGATGACATTTATTGGAAATGTAAATGCAAGTACAGACCACAAAAAACAGATCAGCAATGTTGTAGGAAATGGTGGTTACAACTTTTCTGCTTTTTTTCCACAGCAAGCCACTGGCTGACACTTGTAGTTCACAMCTGTATGGCTGAACAGGTGCTGACACCCATAGGTAGGCAGGGGTCCATAAGAGGCCACAGCACTAATTTGTTCACAACACATTCCCTACCTCTGCCCCTTCACTTCCCATGTCCTTTCCCCTTTTTTTTTCAAATTCCTTTCCTCCTGGTTCTTTAGTTCTGTCCCTCCAGCTGTAGCTGCTTTCTCTTACCCACCTCCTCCATTGCTTCYAACCACCAGAACCCACAGGTTCTCTGCACTGCCCCTCTCCCAGCAGTGTGGTGCATTCCCACAGAAAACTGAAATCTGGCTGCTTCTAAATGCCAGATTTGCAGAAAAGATGAGTTATTAAGAAGCAAAAAAGACAATGGCAGCTGTGAACGTGAATTTTAGGATATGCATTTCAATAAAAGAAGCCACTCACTCTGGGGTATTTCTTCACCTTTAACCATCTCATTTTAGATTAGTCACCTAGCAGTTATAAAATACAAATAGACCAGAAAGTTTTAGGAATTAGCCAGAATTGAAACAAAATTTTATTTAAAAAGCGYCACATACAGAAAGCCATACTCTGACAGAATGAGAATGCAGCCATATAAATAAAATAGAAGAATGAAAATYATTATCTTTCAAGAAGTTGTTGAATGCCTGCCTCAAGAAGTAAGGTTTTTTCAGTGCAAGGCCAAACTGTGAGTTTTACTATGCAGTCTTTAATGCAGAAAAATTTGAAGATAAAAAAACCTGAATTTAGAATATTAAATGATGTTAATGGCTGAGCAAACATAAAAAAAAAATAGTTTCAAACTAAGCATTTTTATCAGAAATGATTTTGCAGAAGTTTCACATACACTTTTAAAATTGAAATGTTTCAGTTGTAATAATCTGTAAAAGTATGGCAAACCTCAATGACTTCAATTAGTAAGGTAGTCTCAAACCATTTCTGTTTAGAAAAATATTTAGAATAGTTAATTTTTAAAAGTTATATATCTATATTCCTGTTTTCTTCCCCCAACACAAACCTTACAGAAATGTTCTTATTTGTTTACCACTTAAAATGACTCCAGTTCTCTATGTAGCAGACATTACTTAACAGGCAATTTGATATAACAGAAATGGCATGCAGAATCAAATATGCTGGGCTGGGTGACATTTCATAAGGCTAAGAGAGTCTTGAAATCACTTGTAAGCTTAGAATCAAAATTCCAGGAAAAGCCTCGGGCACCAGAGTACCACCATCAGCTAATTCTGGGCTGTTCACACTGAGGGAGCCTCGTGGGACAGAGAGTCCCTGTGAGGTCCCCAGGACTACTGGCAGACTGGCACACCATGAGAGGTGTCACGGGCTGACCTTTCAGTTCCTGCACAGAAYGACTGGTGACAGTACCAAGAACCTACAACGAGTACCAGGAAACAAACACAGACTGGAGAACACMGAGTGAAAACCTTGAGAATACAAAGGGCCTTGTACTGTGAGCAAATTAGTTCAAAAGGTAAAGGAATCTGGAACTTAGAACGGTGGTTAAATTAATGGACAACACAGTGTTCAGTGAATGTAGCAGGTTATTTCTGGAGCGTGATCAAGTTAATGAGTATATTGTTAAAYACTACTTCCTCTTTAAATTATTAATTTAAATTATTCCTTTAARTACTATGTATCTCCTTAGCCACCTTCACAAAGGTTTTCTAGTCTTTAACTGGTTCTTTGAAATGAGAACTTACTATTGTAGCAGCTTACAAGATTTTAAGGCTCTATGCTTTTTGTACCTTTATGTAATGGGCTTTTAGAAATGGAGATACTTATTGTACAAGTTTAAGATAAAATTTGATTTCRAGGTACTGCATGCCCAGCTCATTAAYGTTGCATTTAGGAGCAGGATTTAGGTCYTGGTAGGTAGGTAAAAGACATTTTGATGTTTTACCTAGTGACTGAAAAACAATTTGAGTACCGTGTTAGTTCAACCAGTCAAACAAGTTAAAAAGCTTATCAAAAAATATTTTGTACATTCTTTTATATTTCAAGCATCAAGTAATAAGCTTTCTGTTAAACCAAGTTGTATCACACAACTGTCAAAAATCAACAAAAATAACAAYGCTGGAACAACCATTCTACTTAATTTTGGGCTTGGTCCCAAAAGAGGTAGTCCGTAAGTCACACAAAAAATAAGTTAGCCTAACATGCCAGTGTCCACCACCATATGCAGCCTCACCACTAAATGAGGTTATTTCATACCTGCAAACATTTTAAGTTAGTGTTCATGTAAATACAGGAACTACACTTGAAAATTATTTCTTCTGTAACCGCAATTCGGTTCAGCTGACCCAATATATTAAATAGCCTTTGAGCCTCAGCCTTAGTAAGAATTCAGCTTTTCTCCAAATTCAATTTATAACATGCCTAATACACACATCCTTTAAAAAACAAAGGATAGATGTATTTAGACCTGGAGAGAAGCTGCAGGTTAAGCCTCGTTAGTGGTCTAAGGTCTAAGAACTATCATCATTTCTCTACAAACGCTGCTGCTGCCATTGAATTCCTCATGGTTCCTCTTGCTGAAGCTGCAAACTCTTCAATTTCAGCATTCAATCTTTTAATTACCCATTCCAGTGCTTCACGGCCCTACAGTTAAAGAAAAGTTTATCAGTGTGTAAATMTTAGCAAGTAAGTAAATCAGTTAAATTCTTACTGAAAATGACTAGACATTTTAGTTAAAAACAGAAGGAGCAGAAATACATGCCTCTGATATTTGTTACGTCAGTAACTGGAGTACTGCTGGAACATGTTCTGCTTACATTTCATGAAAAACAATTTCAGCAGTTCTCATATTATGATCCCAAAAGACTTTTTATGCAGACTRCTTTATCGTTCTCAAGGCTGAACTCAAGATATCTTTGGATTGCCAGAAGACAGACTCTCAACTAAAATACTGTTTCTCATTGCTCCCACATAATTATTTCAGATCTGTCTGGATGTGGATCCTTTTTTGACAGCAAAAATGAACACAAGGCATCAATAGGGCAACACAAGAGTGACRGTGTCACACTTGCGAGAATGGAAATGTTTTCTCCAGTGAAGGTTCTGAGACCTTTGCCAATAATAATTTASTATCTCCATTCACAAGAGGAAAAAGAAGAGGAAGTTCAGCACRCTGAACATTCAGTCTCCACAGTAAAGACAGAACTATGTGGCCTCTTCCTACGACTGCTGACAAAGCCAAAAAGTAAAAGAGAGATTTTTATTCCCTTTGACATTTTGCCAGCAATCACACATTTTACACAATGGCCATACTTACTTTTTTAGCATTGGAAGAAATTGTGTTTGCCATTAGCCCTTCTAAATAACTGCTGAGACTGACACCTTTTACAGAKATTATTGCTTCTTGTGTCAGAATGGTTCTGAAACAGAGAGAGAAAATGGAATTATTCTGTGTAGTTTAAAAAAGAATGCACTGCTAAAAGAAACTCACTCCTCCACAACAAGTACATTCCCTTARTCAGCTCTGCTGTATAACACAGCACTTCCAGCCCCCTAAACACAACCCACTTCCACAMTGTGTGGCTGCTTTATGCTTCTACTTATAAGATAAAACCCAAGAGTGCCCACCAAGTCCAAGTCTCCCTTTGTGGCTCAGCTGTTTCCARCTTTAGCAGCAGGATGTTAAGAGTRGAAACAGCAGATTTGGAGTGACASTATACTGGCAAARCAGTATTAAAACATCCCCATCAACAATAAGGATTTAACATTTTTGTTGTGACAGAAATACCTCCTATGTTAGAGCCCCTTCAGAATTATCACCACCTCCAGCAGTATAGATGCTGTAAAGTCTAAACTGCCTTAAAACCCCAAGCCACCACGAAAACACAAGCCTCCAAATTTAGAGGCTAAAGGTGGATAAATGTGCTTTCCAGGGCAGATTCTGTGCTTGGGCTGAGGAAGAGATCAGAAACAAGGAGCTGAAAACTGCAGATGTACACAAACTCAGTTACAGACAGGAAAACCCCTAAAAGCTGAACTGGATTTCAGCACAGCACAACCCAAAGTCTCCCAGTGACTCTGCAGAGCCAATGTCACTGGAGGGAATGACAGTCCATTTAATCCTTTTCTAGACAAGTTKCTGTAWCAGAGGCCATGTAAACCTCATCTTCTGATCAAGTGAAGCCATGGAAGTTTTCAAAGCAAAGTCTAGTAGTTCAGGGCAATCTCAGAGCAGGGAGGTACTTACTTATGTGGTTCATGAGGGTGTGGTTTATAGACAAGCCTCTCATCTACTGACACGAGGTTTGTAAATGAAATCTGCAGAACACAGGACAGTATTACTGCGTGATACAAATAAAAGAGTAGTACAGAGRGCAAAATGTTACACAATTAGGAATCACAGTGTACATACACCAAGAGGCTTTAAAATTTCTTTTCCTAATACTATCCCCACCCCCAAATCTCCTCCTGTCCTGCTCATTAACATGGTCAGATGCTTTAGTCATAGCAAGTTCCAAGAATCTACCAGCTCCTTCCTGGAAMACAGAACTGGTCAACAACCAGTTACAAGTTAAACTTTCAACTTGTATTGTTCTAATGCAATTTGCAAGTTACTGTCAAGCTGATTTTCCTTTTCAAGTGTACAAGGTGTTGTTATACTCCGTGATCCATTTCAGCTACACAAACACAACTACTTACATTACAGGATTTAAGCTCCATTGTTTTTTTCACAGGGTCAACAACAGAATGCTCTTGYACGTATGTCCTTGTTCTGCAGGTGCCGATGAGCTGGGGCAAACAGAGATGRATTAATTCCAGTAACCCACTGCAATTTTTCAAGCCTTTAAAAACACAAGTAATGGTTACTGCATTCAACAAACATTAAGGGAAAGGGATTAACAGTTTAGCTTAAAACAAAACTATTCAGTTGAGGTAGATCTCAATTTCCAGATGGAAGCAATCTGAGATCTACACAACTTTTGGCTATCACAGTCACTGTGTGCTGCCGTTGAGCTTTCCTGATACATAAATGCTTAAACCATTAAACTATTAAACCATTACAGTTATGAAATGCTACACATCTATTACAACAGCTGGCTCAGGAGCTTCCCCTCCCTGCGGCATCCCTTTCTGGCCTGTGACACAACACTCACCGATTTCACAATGGAAGGGATGCCCCACTCAGTGCTCAGGAGCCTGTGGCTGTGCAGCTTCCCGCTGGGATCCACGTGTCTGTCCAGGACATCGACTCCCACCACGCTGGGGTTCATGGGATTGGGGTATTTCCGCATAGCAGCTGTCATCACAGTTTCCCAGGGGTGGCTGCTCAAACAGAATCAGGACACAAAGCTGTACACCTCTGTTTTCCAMAGGATTATATCTTTCTCTGGAGAAAAACCTGTATTTCGTTGACTGGGCCATGGCACATGAAAATCAAACACACACCTATTAATCGGGTGTGCTGAGTTCTACTATAACTGGGTAAGAATGTTTGCCCTGTGACACAATACWAAAACACTGCACTTTATCCAGATTTCGGTAATACTGTCGTGGTATTATTAAGTTGTTACTTTCCTCTGACGAGTACTTCCTTCGGATTATTTTAATACAGGTATTGTGGAGCACTTGAGCCCCGCCACCATGAAAGGCCTCATCGTGTTGGGCGAGCGCTGCCCCAGGAAGGCGAGGGCAGCACAAGGACCCTCCTCAGAGCCGGCAGCCCCGGCGGCTCCGCACAGGCACCGCTCCTGCTGAGCTCCCCCAGCCCGTGACCCCGGCCCGGCAAGGACGCGCGGGGGAAGGGCAGGGGGGTGAGAGGCCGCGGCCGCCGGAGCGGGGCTGAGGCGCGGAACTCCCGGGGGCGGCCCTGGCGCAGCGCAGCCCCCGCGGCCCCCGGAGTCATTCCCCCGTGCCCGGGTCCGGCCCCGCCGCTCCCCGCCCGCTGCCCCGCACGGCACCTACTCGAACACGTGTTCCGAGGTCCAGATCTTCATGGCTGCGGCGGGCAGGGCCCGGGAAGGCTCCGGGGGCAGCACCGCCTCTGCCGCCGCTCGGCACCGCGGGCCCGGCTCTGCCGCCGGTGCGCGCGCCTGCGCGGGGAGCGCCCGCCAATCGCAGCGGCGCCGCGCTGACGTCACGGGGCGCGTGCGCGTGCCCGGGGCCGCGTCCGCTCGGGGACACTCGGGGACACTCGGGGTGAGGCTCGGGCACGGCCCGGGATAGGCGGGCTGGGCTGGGCTGGGCTGGGCCGGGCTGGGCTGAAGGTGAAAGGCACGGCCGGGGGTGGCACCGCCCATCGCACACACACGGGCGGGTGCGCTGTGTGAGCCGCGCTCCGGCCC